ATCTTAAAATACCTAGCAAAAGACATGTATGCTCATGACTTGGAACAGTTAAAAATGGGTAAATGTTGAATAGTTCAACTCTCATATGGAAAATTTTAATAAGAAAAAGTTTATATGAGTGTGAGGCTTCTAAACAATCAAATTAAGGCGCACTAAAAAATTTCATTAGAAGAGGTTGTTTTGATGTCCAAATATTCTCAAATTGATTGTCTCGACCTCAAGATACATGGGCATGAGAAAAAATGAATTCCAAGTTTTGGAAATAATACATTTTTTTACCGTTAATTTTCAAGATTTTCAAATTTTCATAGATCTAAATGATCTACACTATTTTTGAAGCTTTAAATTTTATGAAAAAATATATTTCAAGGCGATCACAAAGATTTGTAGTCTTGAAACCACATTTCTCAATATTATTTGAAGGTGCACTTTATTTTGATTGTTAAGAGCCTTGGCCCAATACAAACCGCACCCATTTTGATAAATTTAACTTAACAATATTCAGTGTTTGAAAACTTGCACCGGTGGGACGGATCATTCACCCCACACATTAGAGTTGGTTCGTTGGATTGGTTATTCAAATTAGTTAGAATTGATGATCTTAAAATATTAAAAAAACAATCACATATCAGAGTTGGTTCGTTGGATTGGCTATTCAAATTTGTTAGAATTGATGATCCAAAAAATATTTTTAAAAAAATCAAATTAAAATTGAGGATTTATAGGGTGGGGATTTAAAGGGCATGGCTAATAAATATCCGATGACGTTAGAAAAAAAAAAAAAAAAAAAAAGAAAAAAGAAAAGAAAAGAAAGAAAAGAAGGAAGAAGAAAGGTGTATTTCCCTCACTCTCGAAAGGAAATAGTCGAGGTTTAAATCGCTGACACTACGTATTACTTGGTGGGCGTGCTCAACCTTCGTACTGACGTGACATTTTATTCGAAACTGTGCTTCCAGTTTCATACGTTAAATTTTGTTTAGACGGAAGATGTTTATATGGAGCCGAGGCTCTAAACAATCAAATTAAAGTCTACCTCAAAATTTTCATTAGAAGTGGTTGTTTTGATAGCTAAATATCCTCAAATTGATCATCTCCACATCAAGATACATGGACAATAAAAAAAATGGATTTCAAATTTTGAAAATAGCGCATCTTGTAATGCATTTTAGACCATAAATTATCAAAACCTTCAAGTTTTCATAAATATGTTCCATCCACACTATTTTTATGCTTTAAATTTTATAATTAAATATAAAAATATATTTTAAGGCTAACAAAAAGATTTCCAATACTGAAAACATGTTTCTTGACACTATTTGAAAGAAGACTCTACTTTGATTGTTTAGAGCCTCGGCTCTATACAAACGGCACCCTTTTTAAAAGGATGATCAAGTATATATGAGGGAGTAGAGCAAGGTGGGTGGGGTAGGTGAAAAGGGGCTCTATGCACACTTCTTATTTCCTTTTTGCAGTTCTCATACCTAAAAAGCATTCAAATTCCAGGCCTTTAAGCAATCCAAAATTCTGCCTAAGATTGCATTTGAGACCTTTGAAAGACCTCCAAGCTTATCATTTTAACTTTGACAATTATGGGTGTTAACTTCGAAAGACCTCCAAACTTATTATCATTTTAACTTTGAGAATTATGGGTGTTTAGAAAAAGGTGAGGTTTGTATAAGGTGTAAACCTTATATTATTGAAGTAAGGTTTATCTCAAAAATATGTTGAAAATACAGTTTCAGTGCCACAAAGTCTTGCGATGATATGAAAATTTATTGTTTCCCAATTATGAAATTTAAAGTTGCAGAAATGGTGATGATCAAGCAGATCTATAAACACTTGAAAATATTAGAAATGGATAATCTAGATAATGTATTAGAAAATGAACTATACATAAGACGAGAAGTCCCCCTTTTTTTATGTCTATGAATATCGAGTTTGAGATAATAGATTTGAGGGCTTTCGAGTATAGGAACAACATTCTCTAGTGGGTTTTTAAGGTGAACCTTACTTGTACATTATAAAGTTGACATCTTATATAAATTTTTTCTTTAAAAAAAAAAAAAACTCTATCCTAAAAAGAATATGGTTATCTTATAACACATTATTTAGATCGTCTACTTTTGAATATTTATAGATTTGTTGGAGCTGCACTATTTTTCAACCTTCAAAATTCATAATTAGGGGTCAAAATCGAGTTTTAGGACATCCTAAAGAGCTTCTTGTTCCATTTTGTAAAGCTTGTTCTAGTCTTAATGAGGGGAAAAGTTAATATGAGGCCTAGACCCTCCCATAAAGGTCAAAACTCAGTCATAAACGTAGTTCTCGCCAATAAAACTTTCAAAATGATCTCAAATTTGAAAATTTATGGATTTGAAAATAAAAGTGCATTCCAAACCCCAAATTGATATGTTTAGTAAAATATTACCTGAACCATTCATTTTCAAGTGTTTGTAGATCTACCAAACTTGCAATATTTTTTAAGATTTAAATTTCTTAACTAGGGGCAGACAAGTCTTAGCTAGCCATCATGTCTTCAGCATTGAAAGTGCGTTTTTTTTATGTGATTTGGGATGCAGGTTAAAAGCCTATGCCTTGTGCGAATCGTATCCATTAATGAAATTTTTTAAACCTAGTCTTTTGTTTTTTTTTTCCCTATAGAACATTTAGGTTTTTTCTATTTATTTTTTTTGGGTAATTAAGTAGGGATGACGAGCCCCTACCTATTTTTTGAAATCGTTAATGATTTTTTAATGTGTTAGGTGAGAATAAAAGCCTAGACCTTAGCTAAGACACAAATGATGCTACCACCACAACTCCAACCCCAACCCCATTATCAAATTTTCAAAACTTAGAACTTAGTGTAAACTTAATGCAGGCTTTTTCACTAGACATTTTCCCTGAATAAATGAAAACATTTATATAAGATTGATACTTTATATTGTAGAATTAACGTTGGAAAACATTTGAGAAATGTTGTTTTGATGTTGAAAAACATTAAGTCGACCGCATCAAAAAACATAGTGGACTATCCCATTCATGAGAGGAAACACCTTATGGATTAAACAAAGTCTCCTCCCAAATAAAAAGATAAAAAGAAAGAAAGAAAAAAATCTTAAAAAACAAAAAAAAACTGGCGTGTAAGGCGAAACTTGATCTAAATAACTGGGCTAGCCTTGGGCCTTTCTCGGACTTAGTGGGCTAGCCCTAGCCTAATTCAGTTAGGGAGGCCCTGGGCCTGTCCCGGTCTGGCCCTATCCCGATCAGGCCAAATATAATACAAGAAAATAAAGAAAAAAATAATAAGAAAAAATGAACCAGGTAGGGCAGGCCCTGTCCTGGTCATCTGGCCATGCCCGATCTTCCCTAAGGCCTGGTCCTTCTCTTGAGCCATGGTGGCCCGACCTTGGTTTTTAGGGCCGGGTCCACCAGCCCATTACTACCAATAGGTCTAATAAGGGAAAATATTAGGATTAAGATTAGCAAGTGGAGGTAGGTATCTATCCATCCCCATGCCAATTTCTTTGATGTCAAGTTACAAAAATCCTACTATTACCAACTGACCACCAATCTCTTTTTTTTTTTTGATAAAGAACTAACCACTAATCTTTCCATTAAAAACTGACCACTAATCTCAAGACTCAACGAGTGCGATGGTCTCTTGGAAAGGATACCCACGACCAACTTCCGAAGATGACCTCAAATGTAGGCATCGTATGCGAGCTTTCTAGCTCCATGGAAATCGGGCCCACTTTTACCAACTCAAATTTCATTTGAGAACAAATTTTTTATTTTTTATTTAAAAAGGGCTAATGATTAATGAATTTTAATTTTCGATTTATTTTTTTGACCACAATTTTAATTCTAATTTATCTAGTTGGATTTTGAGAGGGAAAGAAGGGGAGTGAATGGCAGGGGTGCAGATAAGCCGGATGTGAACTACGATTCGTCCAAGTGTTTTTGCCCTTTATCCTCTTCTTCCATAAAAAATAATCCACATATTTCAATTTCACGGGCACATAATCCCCTTTAGCCTCTTCTTCCATAAAATATAATCCACAAACTTCAATTTTCCATGTTTCACAACAATGGATGAAGTTAGATTTATTTGTACAAGGTGTTCACAATTAATTGTGATTCTTGAATGAGAAATTGGATGGACACATTTATTCTATGGACCATACTCAAACTTCAAAAAATTTTTTTCAAACTTTGTGATACACCCAAGCTATTAGATTTCATATCAGATGGTTATATGTACTTGTGACCTTATTGTATCAAGGTAAATGGTCTCATTATATACAATCCTTTATTTTTATATGTTGTGTTCGCTATTAAAACAAATGAAGCCTAACCTCAAAACCCACCAGAAATTATAACTTTGGTGTTGGAAAACCTTCAAATCGACTATCTCGACTTTGACTATTATGATAATGAAAAAATTAGAATGTCAAGCTCTAAAAATAGCCATAACACAGTCTCTAGACCATCTATTTTGCCCTAATCAACAAAATCTACATCATTTTTTTGAACTTTAAACTTTATAGTAAGTGTTTGAAATTGATTTTAGAGCCTATAACGGTTTCCAAGAATGATAAGCTTTACTTTATTTTCATAAAGCCTCGGCCTATAGAATTTGCATCCTTGTTTTATTAACCTGATAGGCTTTTTTGAATAAGTAAAAAAAAAAAAAGAAAAAAAAAAAAGACTATTTAAGTCATTTTATACCAATATTTCATAGACAGAAGAAAAAATGATGATGAAGTGGGTGAGAGATGTATGGCTGCCTGGTTCGTCCGAGCCGGATAGATTAGGGGAGTTTTCCAGTCCACCCACTTTGGGACTCTCTCTCTTTTCTTTTCTTTTTTTATTTTTTTATTTATTTATTTATTTATTTTTTTTGGTGTCACCAATTCCACAATATATTTATATATAAATATGGAATTTTTATTTATTTATTGTCAAGGATATGATCTATGCTGAGGTAAGGTGCTCTAACAACCACAAGGAATCTCCATATATTTTCCATCAAGCACATTCCACTGAAAAATAAACTCCTTTCTCCTTCCTTTTCAGACAATTAAAAAAACTCCATGAAACCTATGAACTTGTTTCTCCATTAACAATGCCCACAGAGATCTGATCTTGATTCAATAGCAGAGAGAGAGAGAGAAGAGAGAGAGAGATTATGGAGCGCGCAAGGAGGCTGGCGAGCGGTGCGATCCTCCGCCGCCTTCTTCATGAATCGAAGAGGGTGGCGCCCCAGAGCCGCCCCGGCCCCGGTGGTGCTCGCACCATCTCTTCTCTCCTCCACCCCCACTCCCCTGACAAGAGCAAGCGTTCCGACAACTGGTTGCTCCTCCACTCCAAACGCCACCAGCATTTCCAGTATGGAAGAAGCATAAGCACCGAAGCCCTCAAGCCCAGCGACACGTTCCCTCGACGCCACAACTCGGCCACCCCCGAGGAGCAGGCCAAGATGGCGAAGACGTGCGGCTTCCCTTCCCTGGATTCGCTTATTGATGCCACTGTCCCCGTGTCGATTCGAGGGCCGCCCATGCATTTCTCGGACCCCCGCTTCGATGCGGGCTTCACCGAGAGCCAAATGGTGGAGCACATGAAACGACTCTCTGCAAAAAATAAGGTCTTCAAATCGTACATTGGGATGGGTTACTACAACACATTCGTGCCACCGGTGATCGTCCGCAACATTATGGAGAACCCCGGCTGGTACACTCAGTACACCCCCTACCAGGCCGAGATTGCGCAGGGCAGGCTCGAAGCTCTGCTGAATTTCCAGACCCTTGTTACCGATCTCACTGCTCTTCCAATGTCGAATGCATCGCTCCTCGATGAGGGCACGGCTGCGGCGGAGGCAATGGCAATGTGCGGAGCAATCAACAAGGGCCGCAAGGTGTTTCTCATCGCCTCCGACTGCCACCCGCAGACCATCGACATCTGCCAGACACGAGCGGCCGGCTTTGGCCTTGACGTGCGTGTCGGCCCGGCTGGGTCATTCGATTACTCTAAGAAGGACGTTTGCGGGGTGTTGGTTCAGTACCCGACCACTCTGGGGCACGTAAATGATTACGAGGAGTTCGTGAAGGCGGCGCATGCGAGTGGAGTGAAGGTGGTGATGGCATCGGATTTGTTGGCACTGACTGTGCTGAAGCCCCCAGGGGAGATGGGGGCAGACATTGTGGTCGGGTCGGCGCAGAGGTTTGGGGTGCCCATGGGGTATGGGGGCCCTCATGCTGCGTTCCTGGCGACATCGGGGGAGTATAAGAGGATGATGCCTGGGAGGATAATTGGGGTGAGTGTGGATTCGATGGGGAAGCCGGCGTTGAGGATGGCGATGCAAACCAGGGAGCAGCACATTCGCAGGGACAAGGCCACCAGCAACATTTGCACAGCCCAGGTACTGACTTCAACCTCTCTCTCTCCATTAACTAGATGAATGGGGACTGAGACAAATATTATTTATGCCCTTTTACTTTTTATTTAAATTGGATGCCTCTGCATGCTCTCTCTCTCTCTGAGATGGATGGATGCAAACGTATTGTTTGATTTTCTAATTGAGTGTCTGTATATTCCACAGCTTTATAATTAAGCTTCTCTCTCAATATCTATCTAATTTAAAAACTGAAGAATGTGATAGAAATATATTCTATGGTTTTAACTTCTGATATTGTCTCTATATGTCTGTCCCTTTCTGTATTTCTTTCCTGAATATACATCCATACTGTTTGGTTTCCTATTTGGTCTGTTCATATCTATCCAACGTTTCGATAAACTGTAATGAGATCAATAAACATATAACGTTCTTTGATATTGAGAATTCAGCCTTATCTGTTGATTATTTGGTTTGTATTGTTTGAGCCTTGAAAGCCAGAATACTTGCTAATGGCTGTAATAAATGTGCTTTATCGCAGTTCCATTATAAACATAGTGGTTTTCTAATTCAGTCTCTTTGTAAAAATTCTCTTTCTTATCAATGGGTCCCACCGTCTATGAATTATTATAGAGATGGGAAATTCCGTCACAGTCGTTCATTTATTTGTTTCGATTATGGTTGGGCATTTAAAGGCGTTGCTGGCAAACATGGCTGCGATGTATGCTGTTTATCACGGTCCTGAAGGTCTCAAGGCAATAGCAGAGCGTGTCCATGGTCTAGCTGGAGTTTTTGCACTGGGACTGAAGAAGCTTGGGACTGTGGCAGTTGATGAGGTTCCCTATTTTGACACTGTGAAGATCCAATGCACTGATTCTAAGACCATCTTGGATTTTGCAGTCCAAAACGAGGTCAATTTAAGAGTAGTAGATGGCAACAATGTAAGTGATCTCCTCATCATTTTACTCTTCCTTCATTTCTTAGTATTTCTCTTTGGATATGACTACTATTATCATTTCATGATCATTATCAATTCTTGGCGTTTCTTCCCATTGCAGATAACAGTTTCCTTTGATGAAACCACCACCTTAGAGGATGTTGATAAGCTTTTCAAAGTGTTTGCTTTTGGTAAACCTGTAAGTCTTGGATTTGGTTGAGCTAGATATATTTCATTTTTGAGTTAGATTTTTCTTGTGGTAATCCAATGAGCATTGACTTCTTATTGAGCTGAAAAATGTACTTCTCATGAGTTAAGTGTTTATTTTTTACTCACCCAAAAAAAAAGTGTTTATTTTTAATTTTTTTTTATGCCTATATCTCCATTTTTTTTTTTCCACTTGATTTGATGATTTGGTCGACCTCTTAGGTACCATTTACTGCTGAATCTCTTGCTCCTGAGGTTCACTCCAGGATCCCACCTGCACTCAAAAGAGAGAGCCCTTACCTGACCCACCCCATTTTCAATATGTATACCCTTCTCTACTCTAACTTTTTCAGTTACTTTTATGAGGAACTTTCCCGAGATATTGATTTCTACTTGGGAAACTTTCAGGTACCATACAGAACATGAACTTCTTCGGTACCTACATAAGTTGCAGGCCAAGGATCTATCCTTGTGCCATAGCATGATTCCCTTGGGTTCCTGTACAATGAAACTGAATGCCACTGTGGAGATGATGCCTGTGACCTGGCCCAACTTCTCTGATATCCATCCATTTGCACCCACGGACCAAGCTATGGGTTATCAGGTACTTAGTACTAACCTTCTCTACGTGATTCCAAAAAATGCTTCCTTTGATGGTAATTACTTTGATATTTTACAGGAAATGTTTAAAGATTTGGGTGAACTGTTGTGTACAATTACTGGATTCGATTCATTCTCCTTGCAACCCAATGCTGGGGCTGCTGGCGAATATGCGGGGCTCATGGTCATCCGTGCATATCATATGGTAAGAGATCTAAAACTCTAGAAGACCTGTGCTTATTTGTTTTTGGGAGTGATTGGAGCTTCCTGAGACTCTCTCTGCATGTGTGTGTGTGTGTGTGTGCACCCACGCACGCGCATGAGTGTTTAACTCGTATGAGGGTTGTGTGTAGGCAAGAGGAGACAGTCATCGCAATGTGTGCATTATCCCTGTCTCAGCTCATGGGACTAATCCCGCAAGTGCAGCCATGTGTGGAATGAAGATTGTTTCTGTTGGTACGGATTCTAAGGGAAACATCAACATAGCAGAACTGGAGAAAGCTGCTGAGGCAAACAGGGACAATCTTTCTGCTCTCATGGTACACTTTCTTGCATCTCATAGTCGACTTGGGATATTCAGCATCTATCTTTGCATTTTTTAGCATGAGAAAAATACAAGGGACTTTCCAACTGTGTAGGTTACTTATCCTTCTACACATGGAGTCTATGAAGAAGGAATTGATGAGATTTGCAAGATAATTCATGAGAATGGGGGCCAGGTCTACATGGATGGTGCCAACATGAATGCACAGGTTCTTTTTTCCATCCATGTTCCTGTAACATAATAATTTCAATTCATATTATCCTTGACTTAGACTTTCAAGCAGGCGTTCTTGGTTCAACCTTTAAGTCATAGTTGTGTTTTTAGAAGAGAAATTATTTTCTCTTATTTCTTAAGGCTGGAAGCAAAGTCTAACAAGTTATGGTACCTTGCTATTTTCATTTTATATTTTTTTCGATAGGTATCATCATCATCCAAGCCTTATCCCAATTATTTGGAGTTGGCTATATGACATAACTGCATGAATATGTTCTATTTAATGTTTCAAAATGTTCATTCACCAAGAGGCTTCAGATCTAATAGAAAAAGAACTCGAGTTGATAATGATAGAAACATAAATGCATGGGAATGACATCCATTGAGGGATAGATGGAATATGCTCTGGACCTGGATGATTATGAGTCTTCTCAGGAGAATCTAGTCTCTGAAAAAAATTTACATGCTAGGTGTCTTCTTAATGGTTGATGTTTCTATATAGGCACTTTCATGCTGTTTAACTTGTTTCAATTGTGTATATTTTTGAAAGGATCTAGTAGGAATTTTCGGCCTGGACGAGGACTTCATGTATCTCAAGCATATCTCAAGCATAGTTATTGGAGGCAGGAATGTGAGTAGGGAATTATGCGTTGCCTAAAATTCCCTACATCATGAGCACATGGGATTTTTCTTGGAGCGCCCCTAGGATTTATGTATATCTATAATATGTTCTTAGGAATGCATATCACGTAGCATCCCTAGATTATGTGTGTGTGTCTCTCTCTCTCTATATATATATATGTTATAAAGTGGGGTGAGAGGGTAAAAATTTAAAATAAATTATTCATTTTCTAATAGTAGATACGCATGTATAAGGGAAATTCCAAGTGAGGGAGTCCCATAAAAAAAGCATTAGACTGTCGGGCCATGACAAGGAAGGGAATTGAACTTTATCCTTAAACCACCATAACCTTTCACTATAGTTCATGAAACCTTGAGATCTATCTTCGATCACCTATCAATATAAGACCTATAATCAGCATATCTAGATACCCTCCAAGAGATGTGCGTGCACACACACACGCACACACAACTACTACTAACATACTATAGTGAGTTGCTGACAATAGTTATCTTTATAATTGACAATTTTTTGAGTTATATATGACGATTTTTTAAGTTATATATCAACTATATGAAAAATAACCTACTGTTATATGTAATCTTTGCTATTTGTGTGTTTCTATAAGTGTCGGTTGATATGTGTATGCGGCAATATTGTATATTGTGTATTGACATCCTGGTGGAATACATTGCATGAACCTAGGCTTTTTTACTATTGAAAAATAAATTGTGAAATTTTGGCATTTTCCTTTGGGCTGTTTAATCTCTGCTATTTGTGTGTTTCCATAAGTGTCGGTTGGTCTGTATATGTGGCAATATGGTGTATTGTGTATTGACATCCTGGTGGAATACATTGCATGAACCTAGGCTGTTTTACTATTGAAAAATAAATTGTGGAATTTTGGCTTTTTCCTTTGGGCTGTTTAACCCTTTTCTATCAAGTATGCTAGTTTAGTTTGTCTGTTCACTTGATCATTGTTATTACGCATTGCTATGTGGATTCTCATTGCATGTTTGGAAATGCTCGTAATCACTGATAACTTATTTTCAATAAAAGTAATCCTGATAATGAATTATCTGTTTTTTGACACTATCCATTACAATTTGTTGTAAATCATATGTTTTTAGCTAGAAATAGCGAACAAATAGCTAAAATCACGAAAAAAATCAAATAATTAAATAATATTGTATATAACCAAACAACTATCAAAATAAATTTCAGATTAGTCTATTCCATATAAAATTAGTTGTCATCCAAACAGGCCCTTGGGTTATATGATATTCGTCATCTTCCCAAGCAATTCTTAAGTTAAAATGATCACATTTTGACTCTCACAAATTGCTTGCAGGTGTAATGGTTAGATTGTAGCCTTCATTGTGTTATGGAACATTCTTACTACAAGTGGGTACGAGATCCTAGACCTCTCAGATCTCGAACCCATGATTCCTGGATCTAGACATGCAAGAGAGGGGGTCTTGCTCCCATGGCTAATAGGATCATGATCCCTCATGGTATAGGAACATGATCCTATGTGATGGGGTATTTGTCCCCCCCAAGATCCCGAACTGCTGGATTGACATTCCAAAGCAGGATTGCTAACTGCTTACAGATCTCCCCTTAACTCTGATCTAAAGTATAAGTACTTACAACTGACAATTCATGGTCTTTCTGAGTGTGAAAATTTCATTATGTATTTAACTAGATTCATCCCGCTATAAATTAATACAATTTATTTTTGAAACTAAATAGATACCGTGATGAACTCATCCAAATTAGGCATGTTCATCAGTATCATTAAATTTGGAACTTAAGCTCTTCAAGACGATGCCCCCTTTTCCATAAAACTTCAGTTCATTTGACCACAAATTTATATGGGCCGTTTTGGGTGTGGATTGCGCTCCCTCAATGGTCTTCAACTTTGTGGGCTTATATCTTGGTCCTCCGATATTAGATTGGCCTAATTTTTGGAGGATACCTTCAGGGCACTTTAGATTAGAGTTTGAAACCCTTTTGTTTTTTTTGAAACTGTTAACAGTGTCGTATTAAGATTAAATGAGCAGTACAAAGGGGGAGAAGAGGGAGAGGGAGTTTGAAACCTTTGAATAGCCGTTCGGGGCAAGTTTGACCAAGGTTTGACTGTGCTCTGTCCTGGACCATCCATTTGGTAGTTTGACCCTGCAACTAGCTCTGATCTCTATTTTTTTTTTGAGAATTGTCTTTCCTCATTTCATGGGGGTCTATAAAGTTTGGTTGGGTGGTCGACCCTATGCATTGTGTTCGCCAGGCCACTGTTTGGATAACATGGGCTCTCTAAAGATCCGAAATCCATGGTTTCACCTGCCTGGGACTGTAGTCTGGTTCTGTGCTCCATACCCTTGGAGATTGCCGTTGGGTGATTTTTTTTGCGTTTGAAACACCACCAGACACTCTTCATCAAGGCTCTTCATTTCCATGGCTGCATTTGTTAAATTTACTCTTCATCGCATTTATGACTGCATTTGTATTTTTTTTTTTTTTGGGGGGGGGGGGGGGGGGGGGAAGTAACGGGTCTCTCTTTCTCTCTCAATGTACATGCACATACAGAAAGATCTTCCAATTATTATGACCTAGGCCAGTGAATCAGGCTAATTCATTTGCACTTCTCAAAACATGACAGAAACTGACCAACCCACCCCAAATAGATCATAAATACCCTCAATAACATCTACCAATATCTTTGGGGTGGGATTCCTAGCCCATGGACAACATTCGAAGAACATCCTTTGAAGAATAATCTAACAGAATAACTTGATGCCAGTGGGCAAAACAATTAGGTTTTATGAAGCGGATGTGGCTCTATTGTAGTAGCATATGAAAATCATCTTATATTTTCAGTCATTATCTTTTGGTTGCAATGCATGGAGACAGACCATGTATATTTTCCATTCTAAAACTAATAGCATGCAATTTCTTTGAATGCTGGTTTAATGTAATCCATATTATCAATCTCATATTTTTCCTTTATTTCCATTAAGGCAGGTTGGTTTAACAAGCCCCGGTTTTATTGGCGCCGATGTTTGCCATCTTAATCTTCATAAAACATTTTGCATTCCTCATGGTGGAGGTGGGCCTGGTATGGGGCCAATTGGCGTGAAGAAACACTTGGCACCATTCTTGCCATCGCATCCTGTGGTAAGTCTGGCAACTGAGCATTAGCCTATGCTATCCTGAAAATGCAAGCAGTATTTAGATGAATGGCTCTTACATTATTCAAATGAGTGCTTATTTTTCTTTTGTTAACCAAGAACAGTGTTTAAAAGAGTGGACTTGGGCTTGGAATTGCCAGGGTCTCGAGCCTAGTCAGAAGTCAAATCTGCTGAGTCCGTTCTACTTTACTTGGCCCCAGCCAAGTCTCAACATAAAAATATATTGCATTTGAGGACTTAGGTCAGACTTGACCAATTTTTAGGGTTAGTGAATTTGTACTCAGCACCCTGCCAGGTCTAAGTGACTTGGGTGAGTCTGAGCCCTAGTCAGTGAATTTTTAGAGAGTGACTGAGACTATTCTGTATGAGAAACTACTGCCTTGCACCTGAACATCACCACAGGTTTTTTGTCCTAATCATTGCATTGGTTGTAGAACTTTCTGAATCATTTTCTCCATAGCCTCTTTTCATGACAAATTCTAGGATGGTAATGAGGATGTAGTGTTAGGATCCAGTGGAAATAATCAAGTCATGTTTTAATGGTAATAAACAAGGTATCATACTTCATTAAGACATTACTTATAACTGCATATTGTGCTATTGTGATTGCTCAAGTAGAGCCTTCTTTGCTTGTTAGTGAGTTCAAGGGGATCACTTGGAAGTATCTGGAATGTGCTTTATGTCCCATTAAGCATGTATCTCATGTCCCATGCTTGTTTGAGATGAGCACGTTGGTGGGCATGAGTTCAATTAGACTATGCCGTTCTTTAGTATATAAATAGATCTTTAACTTAAAAGTGGCTGCATAGAGCCACTAATTTATCTGATATGGGTTTACTACGTGGCTAATTATTTCATCTAGCCTATTTGGGGGTTTTCACAATGGGGAACTTGGTTTCTGTCTCTATTCCTGTTGATGTCTGGACAGGCTTGTTGCATTGTTTGGCCAAAACATTGGTTCAATATACCATCAGGCCAAATTCTAATAACGTTGTAACAAAATATCCTGATAATAGAATGCATGGTAAATGACTAGTTGAGATCATAGTTAACAAATAACACTGAGGCAACAGGACTGGTAACTGGCAAAGAGATGAGTTTCCATTAGGAATCACAAATAAGTAGAAAGTGTCCAGCTATCAGGAGTCCAAGATATAACAATTCTATTCAATTTCAAGGTTTGTGCAAGTCAGGAAATGAGTAATATGTGTGTCTTTTATTTCTAAATATTTGAAGTATCATGTATATTGATGTAATCTGTTTGTGTTGTTTCCGTTTCCTTAATAGATTACTTAGCACTAAATGATTTTTTATAAAGTTCTCACTTTTTTGTGCCATTTCCATTCCTCAGATTCATACCTAGTATCCCAGGCTATTTAGGTTATGCACATGTTAATTTTGGGCTATGTTTGTGATTCAAGAGTTTCGCATACCATCTTAAGAGATATTGCCTTCTAGAGTTGAACATTTTGTGAAAAAGGAAAGAGATTTCTTTCTTCATGCACTCGTTGAAACTGTTTTGTACCATTGTCCCTATAACGACCTTAGAGCATGTGAAATTTATTCATTGGACCACACAAACATGCAGCTAGGGTAAAATTTTTGCCAGTTCGGGTAAAACTCGGATCTCTTCAAATAATGAGTAGTGGAATCCATTGGATATAGGTGGTCAGGTTCACCGTACAAATGACTAAAATGCAGTGATTTGTAAACTAACAAAAAAGTAATATAATAAATGCCCTGAAGCACACACATGCTATGAACCCATGCTATTAATAAATGCATTGGCATGAATTGTATACAATGATCAGACCTCTAAACTGGAGTATCTATGAATATGATTAATAATTTGTTCAGCAGAGAGTATCTATGAATATGATTAATAATTTGTTCAGCAGAGAGTATAATAAATTTATCTTTAGTCAAGGACATGGTAGAAATTTGCATTGCCTTGAATTGGAACAATTGTACTTTGTTTGCGCTACCTCCTCCATGCATTTGCTCTTGCTTGTTGTGGTATATTTATTAATTGATTTGGATTCTGGAATCATTTGTTGCAAAATTGAAGCTTTACCAGTTTCAAGTCTTGACTTTTGGAAAATTACAGATCCCCACCGGAGGGATACCACCTCCGGAAAAATCTCAGCCCCTTGGTACCATTTCAGCTGCACCTTGGGGCTCAGCTCTCATATTACCTATATCCTACACATACATAGCAATGATGGGATCAAAAGGTCTCACTGAAGCTTCAAAGATATCTATCTTGAATGCGAATTACATGGCAAAACGCTTGGAGGTTTCCTTCACAAACATTTTCTTTTGTACTTCTCAACTCCATTTTGTTTGTCTTGATTAATGATGCTAATAATCTTGCTGTATGAGCAGAATCATTACCCTGTGCTTTTCCGAGGCGTAAATGGTACATGTGCTCATGAATTCATTATCGACTTGAGGGGTTTCAAGGTGCTTTGAAGTTCAACACACATCTTTGTTGAGATTAATAAATCTACTCTTTCTGAATGAATTCAGTGGCAACCTAAGGACCAATATTGATGCAGGGTTCTGCTGGAATAGAGCCTGAAGATGTTGCAAAACGTCTGATGGATTATGGATTCCATGCGCCAACAATGTCATGGCCCGTTCCTGGCACATTGATGATAGAGCCTACTGAAAGTGAAACCAAGGTATGACTGGGCATAACTTATCTTTTTACTTTTTCTTTCGTTTTTCTTTATGGGAACCATACCATACGCATCCAGTGTGTGTGTATGGTGTACCCATTACAGGTGGGCCATCTTCTGTCCATTCTTAACCGCATAAGGTGGAGATGAACCATATGTCCCACAACCATGATTTACCAGATGCTTCATTTCATCTCCGCCACCAGTCTTGAGAACTGATGGTGGATGCTTGGTTGCTGGTTCATGATATACCATACACTTGAATGCGGTATTGTCATAAACGGATGCATGTTACCTGTTGCAGGCGGAGTTGGACAGGTTTTGTGATGCTCTGATATCCATAAGAAAAGAAATTGCCCAAATTGAGTCTGGGAAAGCTGATGTCCTCGTCAATGTTCTTAAGGTGAGGGTGTAATTATCAGTTTGTGATTCCCTATGTCATTATCCTTCATTCCTTGTTTCTACTTTTACTAAGAAATATATGCTTGCAAGGTCATGTAGATAAATGTTAAAACTGGATTGGACCAGTGACTGTTGGTCTGGTGATCATTCTGGTCCAGCCAGATCCCTTGGACCCGACTGGCCGTCAAACTGACCTCGAACTGGTGGATCGGTTTATTGAATCACTAGACCAGCAAGTCCATTGGTTTGAGGCCGAATCCGCCAATACTAATGGGTTTAAAAAATGATAAAAGTGACCTATTTTGCTTTCCTGATTTTAGGATCACTTTTACTCATTTCTATTTGGTCTTTTCAGTCATTTTGAAAAAGAATAGGGGCATTTTGGTCCTACAAATTGAGAGATTTTTTGGGCTGTTAAATTTGATACTTTTAGAGAATTTTGCTCTCTCTCTCTCTCTCTCTCTCACTCTATATATATATATATATATATATATATATATATATATATACTACTAACACTACTACTACTTCGTTAGGTAGGGTAGGTTACGTTACGTTACTTACGTACCGTACCGTACGTAACGTACTACTACTTACTTACTTTACTTT